CCAACCGACCAAGAGAAGACTCAGTCTGCTCACATGCTACAGCATGCAGTGTCCAGAGCGCTGTCCACTGAGCACAACAAATAAGCGTTTTTTTTTTTTATCAAAGTCCTCTACACTTCAACTTATCAGCAGTTATGCACCAAAAAGGTCCCTCGCTATAAAAAAAAAACGCAACTTTTGGAGAAGTTTCGGGAATATTAGAGTTTTTGGGAGAATTTTAGACATTTCTAAAGGAATTTTAGAGCTTTTCTTCGGGAAATTCCGGAAAGAATTTTAGGCTACATGGAGCTAAGCCTACGTTTGAACGAGGTGATGATTAAGAAAATGATTCGTATGTGTCACTGTCTGCAGAAAAATAGAGCCTGCAAAACAACGGTCTGAACAATAGCAAAAGAGAAGGGAAGAAAAAAGACGAGACACGTGTTGATAAGCCAGTTTTTCCGTTTTCTGTTATTCAAACCACCATTTCACTCAAATTGTTTCACTCAAATCATTTCTAACTGTAGCCAGAACAAAACGATAAGCTACTTGTAATTCCTGTATCCGCAGTATGTTACCTTTTTAACTGCTTGTAGCCATTACTCTCGTTAGTTTTTAAGAACTTTAAAAAAATGTAACGTCTTTCCACTTTTCATTTTACGATGTTTAAGGGCAAATTTTAATAGTTTTGGCATTAATAGGAGACTAGACTTACTACTGCATATATAATAACCATTCTGAATTTCATGTGGAAAATGTTTTGCATCGTATTTACGAACTCAGCGTTGTTTTTTATTTAGAATCGTTCGGTCTCCTCTGATACGTCAATCAAACGTGCGCAAATACCGCAAGCACTCAATCACTATTACTTCAAACAATAAACTGTTATTGTTTTACCAAGGGCGGATCCAGACAATTAAGAAAGGAGTGGCTGGGACACTTTCCCACTTGTTGTTGTTTTGCCAATCTTAACCCATTGCTCTTTTGCAGTTCTCTCTACCGTCGCCGTCGTCCTTGCTCACTTATTGGCCAAGGAGGGAAAAAAATAGAGAGGGTGTGTTTGTTTTGTATCAAGGCCTGCCTTTCCTATTTTTTGACACCACACCCTTCACATGAAAGGAACTCCCGAGGAGCCTTCTGTGTATAAAAATGATGCCCTTCCCGCGCTCTCGCCACATTTAATTTCAAGTAGCCTTCTGTTAGATCTAAATATCATGGCCACAAAGGAGAAAAGTCTTGCTCAACAACGAACGCCCAAAGGGCAGTCATCAAGTCGATGTAATCATTCCGCTAACACACAGCAACATCAACCGCTGCCAAAGGATACAAGAGAGAGACGCAACCACAGCAAGTCCTGTGATAGCTACTTTAACAACGAACTTGCGACCAAGTTCTTGAGTGATCCTCGAGTGGTGACTGAAAATGCCATAAAACTTACTCCAGATGAGATGCACGCAATTTACATGGACATCTTCAAACCTCTGGACTTCTTCGAAATGTTTTACGAAAGACTGAAAGCTCAAGAAAAGGAAAAAGAGAAAGAGGAACTGGATGAAGAGCGAATCCGGTGACCGAGTATGCTGTAAACTATGACACTTCACATGGAACTTTAAAACTACTAAAATAAATACCGTTTAGGAAATAAACAGAGCCAAAAAACGGAAGGAAACGCATAAACGTACCCACTTTATACTTCATATAAGGGATACAGGAAGATTTAATTTAGTAAATCCCAAAGGTTTATTTAATATTTATTTATTTATCAGTTTAAATAGATATACACCTTAGCATACGGTCAACATTACTGAGATTGTAAAATCCTGAATTTGACAGAATATTTATAAGAAAGAAAAACGATTTAATAATTACTAATTTATAAATTTACCCACTGAAAGATGTATTAACTGCTGTATTGTACGTTTTTCTTCACCCTTGTCTCGCTTGTAAACATTTCAATGTCTTTTCGTATAAATGTCGGACAATGCCTAAAATTAGAATTTATTCTCCCATCAAGATTTAGATTAAGCTAAGTTTCAACCCTTTCCAAGTTAGCAATACAGTTTTAACCCTTAGTCAGTCTACTTGTTTTCGTGCTTATCGAAAATTAGAGTAAAACGAAATAATTTAAACTTCATACACTTTCACTTCTTGACTGGATAACAGCGCTTGGAAATAATATCCGTACTTATGAAAGGAGACAACATGTCAGATGTATACCCATGAGTTGTTCTGTGTTGTTCAAGTTGCGTAACCGTTTTAAAAACATGATCGAAACAGAACTATTGATGTGTTCACGTTACAATTCTCAAGAAATAAACCTTACTTGCTTGTAAGTTTTTTTTTGTACACTATATTTAATCGGTCTTGATCAGGTCTTGATGAAATAAAGAGAGCACGCAGGCATGTTTAAATTTCCAATGTTGAAAGACAATTCTCCCTTCGAAGTTTGATCTACACACACAAGTGAGTTTTTCTATTCTATCCTCTAGAAGATGCACAATGCCTCCAAAACATGTTATTTGTGGAATTTTAAAATAACGGTTTATCATACTATCTTTAAACTTCAAAGTAGGTAAATTTAGAACGTTTTGCGCTCATAATGTTGTTTTTGTTCTGCGAGAAGAGCAAGACCATGTAAAAGTTAGCGATATGTATGCGCGTGTCCGTCCATTCCCGTGCAAAAAATGTGTACAACAAAAACTATGATAATAATTAGTTTTTAAGGAGTTTTCTAAAAATTTGGATATTGTCTGGGCTTTTTTCAGTTTTCATTCTTTCTTCTGTCATGTGTTATCATCGGTGAACGCGTCATTACAGGTACACTAGGCTTGGGCAGTTTTGGTCGGATTTATCACACGACCCAAAACGATGTTTTATATTGAGCAAGTAAAATGTAAAACACTTGTGATTTTAGTCATGGGGCAAATTGTATAGTAAAAAGTTAAAATTATTTTTTTCTGACATCGTGTTTAGTGCTGGCACTGCAAAATGCGTTCGCATCAGAATGACGTACTGATCCTGCGCATGCTGGCAGAAAAAAGTGCCATTTGCTCAAGAACAAAAGTTTGGATGGCTATCCGCAGGTTCCTTTTTGCACGCAGGTGAATATTGTGAAAACGTAACCCCCACTGTCTCAGTACGACTAATCCATGCCCATAAAAATTGCATAGTAAAATAAAAATGAATAACAATGAAGAATAAAAATGTCAATGACAACGTGTGTAATAAACGTATGAGATAAACAAAAGAAAAATACAGCTATGGCGAATATCCTTTGTAATCGACGTTTTGTCTGAAATATGTTTTTCGCAATGAAAAGTATGTTTTCCTCAACAAACGGAAAATGGGTAATTGCGACCTAAATGGATATTAGCTGGCAAGTAAAGTTTAGCCGGTAAATGCTTCAAATATATAAAAAACAGCTATCAACAGGTGAAATGTACGTACGCCATCATGCGAAGCGAGCTGCAAACAACAATCCTTGGAAAATACGCCCCCTCTCCACCCCCCAAACAGAATTTTACTAAAAACTATTGCGGGCACTTCCAAAAAATCTTCATGTTTCAAGTTTTGTTTTTGTAGCTTACAACAGGAAAGATCCGTAAATTAATGGTCTGGTAAAAATGAAAATATTACGAATTCCAGCGGTCTTTGGTAGCAATTTTCCTTTTTTCGAAGACCTTTCGAACCCCTGGTTTTTTTTCGAATTTTAGAAAAAATTTCGTATCGAGTAGGTTTGATTGAAAATAATACGCTCCAAATTTTAGGGCTGTGTCAGGAAAATTTAAAAAGTGAGAAAATGATGCATAAACTTTACTCTCCATGTTTTTAATTCAAACTGTTTTTCGAATTTACTGTTTGAAAATAATAGAGCGAGAACAAGTCGCAAATACGCAATCGACAATCTAAAGAGAGGGCGAAAGAAAGGGAGAAAAGAAACAAAGAAACAAAGGAAAAATGGAAAAAGGAAAAAGCCTGATAAACCAGTTTTTCCGTTATTTCACTCAATCACCTCTACCTGTAGATATAACAAAACGATAAGCTACTTGTAATTCCTGTATCCGCAGTGTGACCTTTTTAAAGTGCTTGTAGCCGTTACCTTCGCTAGTTTTTATTAATAACTTTGAAATATAACGTCTTTCTCTTTTTCATTTCATGATGTTTGGCGGCAAGTTTTAAGAGTTCTGGTATTTAATGTAACTCGACCCAGTTATTTTGTGAGGGTTACATCCTACTTTGAAGCTCTCTGGTATCCCCATCTTTGCTTTGATCGTAAGTCTAACATATAGCATGGATAACATATAGACCAATCTACAATATAGCGTAAAATTTTTGGCGATCGGAGTAAATGTAGTATACGCCTCTTCTGCTGTTGCTGGCATTTTTTTGTGAAAATCTCTCAGCTACATATAGTGGGCATTAGTGCCTTGCGTTGAACAAAGTTTTACTAAAATCGCAAAGACCCAATGCGAGAAATTCAGCGGTTTCCAAATTTAGGCCATAATTTATGTGAAAGTGATAAGGAAACTTTACACGATTATATCTAATAAACTATGAGATTTATCCCTTTATTTTTGGGATCTTTATAACAGATGGTCCTTGCAAGTCAGCAAAAAACTTCGCGGCCTTGTAAATGCGCGCGATTTCGAGCAATGCAAACATATAGAAATTATAGTTTTAGCTATTTGTTGACGTTTGTCAGCGTTTTAGAGTCCTCCTCACGAAAAAAGCATTTTCTTAAAAATTCGTAGTTTTTTTTTTCCTTCAAATTTTTTCAGGGCCACAATTGATTAACTAACTACCCGGATTCTGAATTTCATGGTCATTGAAAACCTGTGACATTATCTTCTATAATCCCAAACTTGAGTAAACATTGAAGATTTTTAGCGTTTTGGCTGAGTTTGTGCTTTGGGAGTTTTCTATTGTTTTGAGTAGTCTCTACAGTACCAATACCAAGGCATCCAGTCCTCGAGAATCCAATCAAGGACAGCCAGGTTGTACTTCCGTCTTTCCTCCTCAGAGAGTCCCCGTCCATCATTCTCTTTGTGCCAGTTCAAAATGATCTCAACAACTCGTGCTTCATTCTTGTGGTTGTTGTTCTGCAAGAACTTAAGGACACCAATGGAGAAAAATTTCTCGCAATCAGGAACAGACTGTTTTCTTTTTCCAGTAAGAGCCTCATAAGTCATGCCACTATTTTCATCATGTAGAGCATCTCTGAAGTACTGCAGACCTATTGATGGGATTGTCCCTGCTCTAGCGCATGATGTTATGCGCTTCAGCACATGATTATGATCTTCACGCTCATGAAATGTCTCACCATTCACTTCATTTAACTCTGGGACATAGAGATGTTCTTTGAAGTTAACACCCAATGCACAGTAGTCATTTACTTTCTTGCGGTACAGGTAGGTGGCCATCAAAGACTTTAAACATTCAGTCTTATTTTCAGGCTTACCTTAAAGACAAGCAAATTAAAATAATACAACTTATTTAACAATTTTTACTAAGAAATTACTTGATACTATTACCTGGAACAAAGAAACAAATAAGTTAATAAATTATCGGCTGCCTATAGTAAATGTGTTGATCAACATACCAGGCTTTCATGGATGTGGATCATAGTTACATGGAAAGTGACTTCATCCCCAGAGCTGAAGGGCAAAGTTATTTCAATGCACACTCAAAAATCTGAGCATTTACTTTGGTGGCTTTGGGAAATAGTGCCAAGCTGGCAACCAACCTTTGCCATTAATAAACTACTGGGGGCTTATTAGTAACTTTATCATAACATACCAGGCTTCCATGGATGTGGATCATAGTTAAATGGAAAGTGACTTCGTCTAAGGAGCCGGAGGGCAGAGGTAAAGGAAAGTCCATCGTCCATGAGAGATTTCAGCAGAACGACATCTTTGATTGGAACAGCTGGATGTGGCACTTGAGGTTCCACTGCCCCATCTTTGAGAGAAAGCAAGAACGTAAAGTTACATTCAAACTCTTTACCATTTAATTTGGTAGCTCCAAAAATATTTTTAAAAAAGAGCATCTTGCTGGCCAGGATACTTTGCAATAAAATTCATGCTATGGGTTCTCCGTTGCTCAAAAGTGACATGGTGCAAAAGCAAGGTGTGAACATTGAAGAAAATAGGGCTTAAATGCATGGAAATCGATAATTTGTTTTCCTTAAATAATTTATAGCCATGTCTGTGATGTTTGAGAATATTCAGCCAAAATAATTATTGTTCTTTTACCATGACACTGTTGACTTGCAAACAGCCCATCAGAGAGCATAAAGTGTACAGAAACCATTAATTTTACCTTTATTCTTGGGTGTAAGATATCTTGCTATTCGACTAGCCGGAATGGATTTGGCCTTAGACTTTGCATCTGCCATCAGCTGAATTACTGAGACTGGTCTCTGGGAGCCCTTGGTCCTTAATGAGTTAAACTCTCCGTCAGTTACAAAACCTAATACATAAAATATATATAACCAGCGTGCAAAGAAAGTCATGTCCGATAGCCTGGGGCTAGTGGATATTGCTATCAGGATAGTGCTGTTTGTTTTTTAACTTGCCAGAGGCACGAGTGCTGTTTTCTGGGAAATTCAAATTACAGAAGGATTGTAATCAATCCTGCCAATCAAAAAGGGTTTTGGGGCTAATTGAGATGATTTGTGGGAAGATAATGCTAGCTGTAGCTTATAATGGAATTAAAAAATATATGTAAATGTATATATATATATACATGAGACTGGTATATATATATACATATATATATAACTTGCACAGAAGAGAATCGTCTTCCAACAAATAAAAACTTTATTCATACATATATATATATATATATATATATATATATAATGTGGCAAAGAAAACAAACCCACGACTACCATCCCCAAGTTTTCCATTTCCAACTTAAGAGGCGGTCCGTGTAAGAACCGACCACTCGAATTTCCGTGGGAAACAGAATTCCTTCATTTTTTTTCTGCGACATAATTAGCCCATGCCATTAACAAATATCGAATTTGTTTGGCTCATAGTGCTTTTTAAAAAAAAAAATTGGGCAGCGATTCGCCTGGACGGCCCAAAGCTGTCATGATCGTCTCTTTGAAGGTCAAATTTAAGCGTTTTGTTCAAGGCTCGCAAAAATTTCGCATTTATCCAAATAGCATAAAACAAAAGCATGATTTTAATTCATGCTTCCTTTATTCAAACAAGGTAAAATATTTAAATTCTGACCCCCCAAAAAACGAATTATGATGTTTTGAAAATACCACGTAAAGCGTCCTTGAAAAAAATGCGCGGTTATCCTAGTTTTGAAATGAGCTTTTTTTAAAAGTCTGACGTTATCTGTTGTCTTGGTCACTATCCCTGTTCGGTAATAGGGCTAGTGTATCGAAATCAAGAAAAACATTTTTGGGCACTGTTGATTCCGAAGCACAAGAGTTCGATAAAGTTGGGTAACAATCTACTGTAATTGTGCGTATGACGTAATTTACGCATTTTCTTGATTCCGAACTTTCCTACTATAAAACTAAAAATCATTACTGTCAGGGAGCAACTATTTTTAAAACTAACTTAATGATGGGGACAAACAGTGAATATCTTAAAATCCACTAAATATTGTCCTAAATTAAAATTGGGATGTTCCAAAAAAACGTACCAGCTCCGGTGAATGTTGCTATGTCCAGTTGTGGCTAAACAGTTAAGAAATTTCGTTGAAATAAAGGGGTTAGAACGGTAAAAAAATTTAAAACACATTGTGAATAGATTTCCCGTGTAATTACCACCTCAAAAGTTATGACACGATCCAGCAAAGAAATAGTTTACCAAAATGTACCGAATTTTCTAGCCACAAGTTTTTGCGTGCAGACAACATCATTTATATTGTGTCTGAGGATGTCAATTTCAGATTTCAGTTTGCAGTGCAAAACATGTTGGATGTTATTTTATCGAAGCTGAAACTACTTATCGGGCTTAACGAGGTAAAATAAACAAGGTACAAAAAACTGGCTACGTATAAGAATAAAAATGTTTTGCTGGTTTACTAAAAATTTCTTCAAGTTTTTAATTCAATTTAAGTTAATTTTTCTGGCGTCGTTCACTTAATTTAATATCGTATGCAAATTTGCAACACAAAACGTAGAGCGTATTTACAGTGTGCCGAGATAACCTTCGCAGATAGAATGGCTGCATTTTGTTCTTTTTCCGCATTAACAGGCGGAAAATGCGGAAGTAATCGAGGATGTGTCGATTTTGTGTGCTTGAATAGTTGCAACGCTGACATTAGTTCACACCTCATGAATCACCACCTGTCAAGGGGAAATGTTTGTGAAATGGATCTGATACTGGCAAGGGCAGGTCTGTTAGAACTCACTGATGATCAGATCAAGAATATGACGGTTTGTCCAGTCCATCGTTACACTCTGGGAAAATACTGGCAAGCTCCAAAGACCTGCCAGTATCCAAAACATCACGGGAAAAAAATGGCAATAGCCGGAACACATGTTATTAATTTCAAGACTGCAAGGGAAATAAAAAATATCTTTGGAGAAGCCGTTCCCGTTGGCTCGCGTAAGTACTATCAGACTAGCAACTATAACTGTTTTATGCTTTCATTTTATAATTAACATATCAGAATTAAAGGGTTTTGTCTTCCTTAACATTTCAACTAGATACTTTCGTTCGTAATTACTTAAAAGCGAGCTGTAGACTGAGGGGAAGTCCCATTCTATATATTTTCTGAACGATAAACGATCGATCCCGTATTTGAAAGTATTTTGCAGCCAGAAAATAACATATAACATATCAAATGATCATAATTTGGTTTTTGTAGTTCATTACAGCAATAGTTCTTTGCTGTGCGTCATCCATAAATTCGGTCGCTGATTTATAGCCTATATAACATAATTTCCAAGATGGGATATAAAGATATAGCTTCTATTATCAACTTAGTAGTAAATTCAGTATTTTTTTAACAAGTCTTTCCAGGTTGGAAAACTTTTTTTGTTTCTTTTTGTTACTATAGCTATTTGCACAACGTGCAGAAAGAAACACAGTGAAGAAGTAGATCGGAAATCAGACTGGCTATACCCTGAGGAAACTGAGGGAGATGTGCTCCTTCAAAGGTACTGTCGGGAGGGTAGTCGTTTGGTTGTTGTTTTATAAAAAACACACACACGGTTGTCCTGTCAGGTTATCCTATCGAAAGGCAACTAAGTAGCAACCTTTCCATTTTTATTCTCCGCAGACCTGCTAAAGAGGCTGCTGTGGGAGCCATCGGTCGCATGGTCACTTCAACTCCATTTCTTGAAGACCAATCAACGCCAGCTTCCTGGAATCCCATAACACCATGCTGGACTCCAGGGTCAGAGGAGGCCTCTTTAACTTCACCCGTGGTAACCGATGCAGTCGGCAGGTATAACGAGGCGATGGATACAATTGCGAGTCTTACTACACAAGAACAAGTAGAACGCGAGCCTCTTAAATATCAGCTTAAAACTCCATTCCAAAACTTAAGCGATGGGGAACAGCTGAAATTTGTAAAAAAGGCTAAAGAGGACTGCTTGCACGTATGTAATGTAATTGCCCCAGGAAACGGAGAGGAGCTCTTCGAGTCAATGATGTCTGTACAAAGAGAATTATTTGATGGCGCAGTCCCGGATGATCTTGTGGTACTCATGACTGCTTATAAGAACGCGAAGACCAGGAATTTAAAGAAACAGATTCTGAGCCTTTACGCGCAAAGATACCCTATGACCAAACTGAAGAAAATTCACCAACCTTACGGAAGTCTCTCTACATGGGAAATAAAGCAAGCACGTTCTCATGCTAAAATGCACGGTCCTGGGACCATCCCTGAAATCAAGACGAAGCATCGCGTACGCCTTGATATGGGAAAGGTCGACCACTTTGTAGAATTCATTAATAGACCGTACTTTTATCAGGATGTTTCATATGGTAACAAGGTACTCACCCTAGATAATGGTGACAGAATTGAGATGCCTAACGTTGTAAGGATCCTGACAAGGTCTACAATGATTGAGCAATACTTGGAGTATTGCAAAGAGCAATGTCACGAGCCACTTAGTAGGTCTTCTCTGTTTAAAATATTGGAGGTTCGAGAAGCGTCTCAGCGTAAATCGCTCCAGGGATTGGACAATACGGCTGCAGATGGTGCTGCGGGCTTTCAGACTATTGAGACGCTGGTTGAAACTCTTGAGAAGGGAGGAATGGAGAAACATTGGTGTTTACGTATTTGCCAGAACCTACGCGATGCTAAACGCTATCTCAAAACTGACTACCGTGTACACTGTCAACAGCATTACTCTACTTGCGCTGACCACTGTAGAAAGTTTGCGCTTAGTGATCCTGTTGATCCCGAGCTCCAGCATCCTTGTCCGCATCAGCATCAATCGACTTGCGAGCAATGCCAAGGGCTGAAGGATGTTCTAAAGGAAGTGAGACTAGCGATTGAAGGGTCATCATGGAAGCCTTACAGTTGCGAACAACGAGAAGATGTCCTTTACGACTTTGACCGTGCACAGTCAGACATCTTGCTGTGGAAAGCGCACATTGTACGCTCAATAAATCAGGAGGAGGCGAAACAAGATGCACTGAAATCAGAAGACCCACAGTCAGCCATTCTGATCATGGACTGGGCCATGAAGTTCCTCCAAATAAAATTTCGTGAGAAACAGTCTGAATGGTTCGGCAAACGGGGGCTCAGCTGGCATATTTCCACCTTTATAACTAAGAATGTTGACTCTGGAAAAATTGAGCTGCAATCGTATGCTCATATCTTCGACTCTTGCCAGCAAGACTGGTACGCAGTATGCTCGATCATCGAAAACACACTTGAGGTTGTAAAGAAAGAACATCCCCAGATTACCCAAGTGAACCTAAGGAGTGACGAAGCAGGCTGTTACCACAATAACTTTCTCTTAGCCGCCGTTAGAGATGCCGGAAGACGAGTAGGCATTGAAGTAGCACGGTATGATTTTTCCGAGCCGCAGTATGGAAAAGATATCTGTGATAGAATCCTTTGTCCAATGAAGTCATCCATCCGACGATATTGCAATGAAGGACACGATGTCGTTTCTGCGAAAGACATGCGTGTAGCGCTTTCAGAACGTCCTGTTCAAGGTACAACTGCCTCCGTGTGCGCAATGAATGAGACTCAAAAGACACTCGAAGTACGTAAGATAGAAGGTTTCAGCAAGTATCACAATTTCAAGTTTGAAGTGCAAGGAATTAGAGCATGGAGAGCTTATGGTGTTGGACTGGGCAAGTTTATTCCTTACCGAGAGGTCATAACTGAACCTCAAGGTCCTACTGGTCTCATTGTGCATGAAAACTTCTTTCCTCTCAAAGAAGCTCGAGTATATAAGAGAGAGACAAACAGTGAAAATGAACAATGCAACGGTCTTTTCTCTTGTTCTGAGCCCGGGTGCAACATGGTTTTCAAGAAATTCAGTGAACTCGAAAATCACCTTGATGTTGGTGAGCACAGCCAAGTTCGCGGAAACTCTGATACGGTGTATGACAAGCTCAGAAGAGACTGGGCGGAGAAATTTCGTACTGTTGATAAGGACGAAGAAATCAGAAGCGTGCCTGAAGCAGTTGTAGAGGAGCATCACGAAAAGAATAAAACTGGCCGCTCTCCCGAGTGCAGTGACTTGCAGACTGGATGGGCTCTACACAAACCCCGAAACGAAGCTGTGCGTTTTCCTACCGAGGTTAAACAGTACCTAACAACGAAATTTGATCTTGGAGAAAGAACTGGCATCAAGTCAGATCCCGCAAAAGTGGCAGCAGATATGCGAACTGCAAGAAACCCAGACAGTTCTCGGATGTTTGAAAGGAAACATTGGCTCACAAAGGGTCAAGTACAGGGATTTTTTTCGAGGCTAGCGGCCTCGCGAAGAAGCAAAGCACATCGGGAAGCGCTCAATGAAGACGTAGAGGCGGAACAGGAAGAGCAGGAAAGACGAGCCACCCTGGAAGAGGTAGCCACCCACCTTGGTCCTAAGCATCCGATCTGCTATGATTCATACTGTTTATGTGACCTTTCACGCGAGAAGAAACTTGAAACATTTAGCGTTGCTATGCTCAAGGACATGTTGAAATACTTTGAAATTCCTTTTAGTTCTCGCGATAGAAAAAAAATTCTTGTAGCGAACCTATCGGAATTTCTTGAAGGCTGTGACTGTAACCAGCCACGTTAAGGCACAAACCGCTATTATAGTAACCAACAGGGTTTTTCAACCTCGAGTTCAAAAAGATCGTGGAGGCAGTTATTTTTCAAACACTTGAAAAGACGTTTTAAGACCTTTATACTTTTTGAAATTCCTTTTAGTTCTCGCGATAGAAAAAAATTCTTGTAGCGAACCTATCCGAATTTCTTGAAGGCTGTGACTGTAACCAGCCGCATTAAGGCACAAACCGCTATTATAGTAACCAACAGGGTTTTTCGACCTCGAGTTCAAAAAGATCGTGGAGTGAGTTATTTTTCGAAAACTTGAAAAGACGTTTTAAGACCTTTATACTTTTTGAAAAGTCGAATTAGAAAAGAACATGTTTTTTTATCAACCGTACTAAAAAGGTACATACGCGTGACAAGCTAAAAGACTGACATTCACGCGTAGCCAGCGTGACGGGAAATTAACACTGTTCAGATGATTTGAATTTCGGCTGTAATGTACCGGGTGTTTTTAATAAAATGTGTAATTCTTTTAAACAGGACTCACTTTCGTCAAATAATTATATGCTTAACCTGAATGAAAAGCTTTTTCTTTTTTTGTTGATCAGGAAAACCTACGACCAATTTAATTGAATGAAATTTTGTAAACGGCTTTTAGAAGTAAACTTAGACGACTGACAACTTACGCCGGAATCGATAATTTCGACTATTAAACTTCGCAATTCCTAGTTTCGTGTAGCATTTGGTATATAAGTTGTTAGCTGTTCACAGTCTATCTCGAACAATAAAGGCCACTTTTAAATATATTTGCTCTCTCGGTTTGATTTTCAGTGGGAAAGTTCGGAATCACCTAAATGCGTAAATTACGTCATACGCACAATTACAGTAAAATATTACCCAACTTTATCGAACTCTTGTGCTTCGGAATCAACAGTGCCCAAAAATGTTTTTCTTGATTTCGATACACTAGCCCTATTACTGAACAGGGAGGGTGACCAAGACTCCAGATAACGTCAGACTTTTGAACAAAGCTTATTTTAAAACTAGGACAACCGCGCATTTTTTTCAAGGACGCTTTACGTGGTATTTTCAAAACATCATAACTCGTTTTTTTAAAGTCAGAATTTAAATATTTTGCCTTTTTTGAATAAAGGAAGCATGAATTAAAATCACACTTTTGTTTTATGCTATTTGGATAAATGCGAAATTTTTGCGAGCTTTGAACAAAACGCTTAAATTTGACCATCAAAAAGACTATCATGACAGCTTTGGACCGTCCAGGCAAATCGCCGCCCAAATTTTTTTAAAAAAGCACTATGAGCCAAACAAATTCGATTTTTGTTAATGGAATGGGCTAATCATGTTGCAGAAAAAAAATGAAGGAATTCTGTTTTCCGCGGAAATTCGAGTGGTCGGTTCTTACACGGACCGCCTCTTAAGTTCGTCACGAAGTTGCCTAACTTTTGCATCTGTTATGCTCTTGAATGGCAGGGCTCTCACTGGAATGGCATAGGGCTTCATGTCCCTGCGTTCATCAGCCACCATGAAGATCATCAGATGCGTGGCCGCTTCCCTTTTTTTAGAGAACACATCTTTGGTGTACTGTGACAGACCTTTCCTTAATTGTGCTAAAGTTTGGGGAAGATTTCCTCTCTGATTAGCAGGCCCTAAACACTTGGAAATTATGCTGCTTCATCTGTTTTGCAAATCATGGTTCAACGATTTCAGGGTTTCATAAGCATTGACATCCCAAGCTAGAGCAAACAGGCTGCTCTCTGGGGTATTGCTTTGCTTCCTTTTTTTTTCATAAATTTCCTTCGATTTCCTGAGACCTGATTGCAAAAACTCAGAATCATTTGTTAGTGTTTTCAACGCTTCCCTCAAGTCCTGGATAACAACTTGCAAGGGCTTTCGTTTTTCTAAACCAATCCCTTGAATAAAACTTATCAACTGCATGTATGTTTGGTGCAGTTGCTCCAGTTGCCCGTCTCCCAAGTCTACATCCCCATACCACTCATGGCGCAAGGATTCCATAATACCGGACCTTATATCACAGGCATCGGCTTTAATCCACCAACGCCCATTAGGATTCCTCTGTTTTGCAGTCTTCAGTGCCTCTATCTACAGTTAATTACAGATGACAACAAATCATTCCAAGTAAAGAAATGTAACGTCTCTATTTGAAACTAAATATGTATACACATCATTAAGTGTAGGAAGAATTATGATGAAATGTACCCTGAGGTCTAGATGACATCCAGGTCCAAAGTCATGACAACATGGTATACAATACACTGTCAGACGTACTGACTGATTAATAACAATTATGGTCAATAATTAGACCTGGGCATAACATTACAGTTCTTCCTAAAACATACCGTCATGTTAATGTATCATATGTAGCCCTTAACATCTGTATATATTGCTTTAAAGTCTGCAACATTGCCAAAAATGACAACTTTGATAAAGTGCAATGTCATTAATACAAAACTGAGCTTACCTGGATGCTTGTGTCCCTGGTGAAGCCTTTTTGTTGGATTCTCCTCTGAAGCTGTCTTGATGAGAGACCAACAACATTAACCTTGGCCTGCAAATAAAGTGGGCATGTTAAGGGGGCAATTATATCATTTTGTACTTATGGAAGAAGATTTCTCACATACCATGCATAATACTTTATAGAACACCTTTTACATATATGCTTTTAATAAAAATAATCAGGCAGAAATAAAATAAAATACAACCAACAGCCCTTGACATTGATCATAATCAGCCCACATAACCATATGATATCACCTTCAGTGGATCACGCTTTGCATGCTTGTGCTTCCTGGTTCTTGAAGGTCTAGCATTGTGGAGTTGCTCTATCTGGAGTGGTGAGTCAGAAGCTTCTTCAAGCTCTGCCATGTCACTAACACTCAACCCATTCCAAAGAGTAGATGTTTCTGAGGATGGTTCTATGTCTTGAGTGCCAGTATTACACATTAGTTCTTCCAGACCTTCACCCATCTCGTCAAATGGTCTGTTGAAACTGGTTGATGTAGGCTCTTCTGATTCCTGGGTGATAACATTATGTAAACTTTGAGAAATCTGCGGCTCAAGGAAAGGTGGGACGTCTCCTTCCTCATCTGAGGAATCTCCATCATAACTCCACATTGGCCCTTGGTAGAGTTTGTCCCATTTGTGACCAAAGTGAGCAAACATTGTCGTCAACCATTCAGCATAGTGCTCACATGGATGGAGGTTTGAAACATTATCTTTGGCAAAGAATTGGAGGTTGTGGTGGATGAGACCAAAAGGTATACGGTCAAGTGACATCCTTGGCCCACTTCCACCAGGTCTTGATTCACCAACACTCCTTGCAAGAAAGTAGAGAGTATTTTCCTTTCCAGCGACTTGTAGGTTTTTAAAGGAGCTTCCAGCAAATTGCAGAAAGTTTGCAGGTACATAACCATCATTGATGCCAACATCATGGGAAAGATGAATGCAAAAGAGGTTGGAGAGGAATTGTTCCCTCTGCAATCTGGTCATTTTTAGAAAACCATTCATCATAAGTTTAATCAAATCACCAGTAGAAAACTCTGGGGTAACATTCTTGAGAGGAGACTGGTGAAATATGGGTGATAGATTTCCTGACAGATTGCGCAGAGGGGGTTTAATGGGTGTAGAAGTTGCTTTTCCAGCTGCTGCACTACTCTCTTCCTGTTGCCCTTCAAAGTAATCTATCTTGTAGAAATCCTCTGCTTCCTCCAATGTTCTAAACTGGTTCACAAGATGTCGCTGCACTTTGCGGCGACAAGCTATGCCTAAAAATACAACAAAAAATATCCATTATTGCAAATGGTAAAATGAAATATCAAAACTGTATCCACACTTGGCTAGGGTAGAGTAAATAGAATATACTCCGTATTAAAGAATCTAAACAAACATCCAGAGGAAATATTGTGAGATTCTTAACAAGTGAAAAAAAAAACTCACTAGTTCTCGTGGGTAAACCAGAGTATTGTGCAACTGCAGCACTACAGCTGTCCCAAAAATCCCAATTCTTGTGGGTGGGCCAAACAGATGCTCCATCGGGGTCATGATACAAAGCAATATATTGAATCAGCCCAGCTAATTCTTTGTCATCCCAAGGAATGGATGCTGAAACTGAGGTGTCCTGCAATGAATATTCAATTAAATTTAGGGAAAGTTCATTTAATATGACAAGGGGGGGGATGAAGATATTGAAACTCGAAGCTTGAAATTTTAGCAGCCCCCCTCGCTAGCGGTTCAATTTTTTAGGAGCCCCCTCCTTGGTAGTCGCAAAAATTTCAGAGCCCCCCCCTCCTTCAATTCCTTTGCTCCCCTGAAAAAAGATCGCTAGACTGTATTAAATACAGGGGTTTCAATAGTAGCCGGGTAGCGGGTAGATCTACCCGCTTGCAACGGGCCGATTACCCGCTTGGAGCCTCCATACGAACGTCAAGTAAGACCAGATAATTTCATCTCAGCTTCGAATTCTTGCCAAAAAAATTGGCAAAATAGGTTTTATGCTATAGGAAAACAAAAGGAAATGAAAAAGAAAAGACATTCTGGCATCTTCCAAGCCTTCTAGCCCATGAAAGTTGAAGCAAAGTCTGCAAAACATGTAACAAACATCGCTTCCGAAGCTACGTCGAAAAAAATGTGCAAGGCATCTCAGCTGAAATCGAGGAGAACTGGGACAGAGTGTGAATACTAATGGCGGCTAAAAGGCAATCGTTGTTTGCATATTTCACGCCAGTGTCAAAACAAAAGAGGTCAAACGAGACTAATTCCTCCCAAGGTTAGTTGAGGATATTGAAAGGAAAACCTTCTGTGATTATCGTTCAAATGTTAATATTATACTTTTAAACTGCATTAAACTCAGACCATTTTAAAGATACCAGTTGTGAAAGTGTTAAAAAGTAGCACCTCAATAGAAATAGTTGACTGTGACAACTTCATTGTAACATAATTCTCTTCAAATTTGTTTAAATTAGTTGACTTAGGAGCAAAAAAATGAAA